AAAAAAAAAAAAAAAAAAAAAAAAAAAAACTGAAACAAAAATCCAGTTAGATGTAAGTCAGAAGGAGGCTTTAGAGACCACTTCTTATCATAGTCTTTTCCTTGACATGCCTGTCAGAAGGTCACTAGGCTGATCCATGTATACTTTTGTCAGGTGGCACTCACCCCACAAAACAGCCTGTTCAGTTTTAGACAGTTTTCACTGTTGGAAAATTCTATACTTTATATTAAGATAGAGGCATTTGTTCTCCTTGCAGTCACCCCAAATTGGGAAAGATCTTTCATCTTCCCTTATCCCTCCAGGTAGGCCTATACTTGGAGTGGCCAGGTCAGACAATTACTCTTTTCTTATAACCGTGTAAGAAATAGTCAGCTGTCACTGTCATGGCCCCTGCCAGACTTCTTTCATCTGCAACACACACACACACACACACTTCAGTGTCTCAAAGTACTTTTAGGAAGTCTTTTCTCACATGTAATCCAAGTCTTATTTTCTGAAGAAAAAAATCTATTTTTTTCTTAGTTTATGAATGTTGAGTTAGGGGCTGGGCACAGTGGTTCACACCTGTAATCTCAACAGTTTGGGAGGCTGAGGCGGGTGGATCATTTTAGCCTAGGAGTTTGAGACCAGCCTGGGCAACAGGGTGAAGCCCCGTCTCTACAAAACATAAAAAAATTAGCTGGATGTGGTGGCACATGCCTCCTGTAGTTCCAGCTACTCACAGGGCTGAGTTGGGAGGATCACTTGAGCCCAGGAGGCAGAGGTTACAGTTAGCCAAGGTTGTGCCACTGTACTCCTGCCTGGATGGCAGAGCCAGACCCTATCTCTAAAAAAACACAAAAAAAACAGAACACCAAAAACCAAAATTAGCTGGGTGTGTGGTGTGTATTATGCCTGTAGTCACAGCTACTCGGGAGGCTGAGGTGGGAGGATCACCTGAGCCTGGGGAGGTTGAGGCTATAGTAAGCCATGATTGTGCCACTGCACTCTAGCCTAGGCAACAGAGTGAGACCCTGTCTCAAAAAATAAGCAAACAAGTAAAATAAATATATAAATAAAAAATAAAGAAAATCCCTTTACAAAAATAATACTGAGTTTGGAATTTGATTAATTCTGAGTTTGTTGGTTTTTATACTATGAGAAGTTACTTCCTGATTGTAGATCATCAGTGTGAACACTTACTGCCTTGTCTGTTACGCATATGTTTTTTTTTCCCCATTTATTTTATTGCATTTTAGATTTTGGGGTACATGTGAAGAACATGCAAGATTGTTGCATAGGTACACACGTGGCAGTGTGATTTGCTGCCTTCCTCCCCATCACCTACATCTGGCATCTCTCCCCTTGTTATCTCTCCCCATCTCCCCACCCCCCACAGTCCCTCCCCTATTTCCCCCCAACTGACCCCAGTGTGTAGTGCTCCCCTCCCTGTGTCCATGTGTTCTCATTGTTCAACACCCACCTATGAGTGAGAACATGCGGTGTTTGATCTTCTGCTCTTCTGTCAGTTTGCTGAGAATGATGGTTTCCAGGTTCATCCATGTCCCTACAAAGGACACAAACTCATCATTTTTGATGGCTGTGTAATATTCCATGGTGAATACATGCCACATTTTCCCTGTCCAGTCTATCATACTCATATCTTTTAAGAATAGACAGCAGAGCCATCCATGTGATCTGTAGAGACACACCATAAGAGAGAAATATTTGTCCCTGCTTCTGCCTTTTTACTTTCCTACTTTGGAGAGTTTCTGAGGACTCTGCCTGGAAGGCCCCCAGCATATGCAGGACATTTCTTCTTCCTTCTCAGCATTTATAGCTAATGGCAAACCTATCTGAATAGAAGTCCAGAGGTATTGACAAGGTGGCGTGAACATTCAGTGCTGTGAGCTCAGTCAGCCTTTGGTGATGACTTCCTACTTCTGGGATGGAGCTCCTCCAATTCCATTTCATGGTACCTTCCTGGCCCCTTAGCACTGGAATGGGAACAGAGGCCTAAGGGCAGGGACAGTTCGCTGAACTTGTTACAGTATTTGCTTACCCCCTTATTCTGTTTTAGAGGACAAAATCCATAGCTTTCCATGAGATTGTCAAAGAAGTTAGTGATACCACAGAGTTAAGAACCACTGGCCTAGAGTGAGATGGGGACAGTCCGTTCATCCAAAATTTGTGGCAGTCTCTCTACTATTTTTACTGGTTGTGTGGCTGGCCACATAGCTACCTACCTAAAGCTACAATGCTTGTGGGCTCTAAAGCTTGGGACAGAAGACCCTGACTCTGGCTTGTCTCACAGGGTTCCTTTAGCACTGTCTTACTTCGATGCATAGTTGGCTCTTAGCAACAAGTTTCTACTTGCTATTTATGCTTTAGGCATTGCCATCTCTAGTGGTTTTAGTCCATATCCCTGTCATCTCCATAGTACATCTCTTTTTGCCCTGGAATAACCAGCATCTCTGACTCTTCCTCCTAGGTTTGGAGGACTGAGGGTAAAACAACATTCAAGTTGTGCCATCTTGGGTTGAGCATTTACCAAGGTCAAATATGGCATGGTGGTTAAGAGGTTGGGCCAAGGATAGGGCCATTCACTTCCTCCATTTATTTATTTCACAAAAACCAATTGAGTGCCCATGTACCAGGCATTGGGATATAGTAGTAAACAAAGCAGTCTCCATAAAGCTGGCAGACAGAAAACCAGGTATATAAGTACAGAAGTAAGATATTATCTTGTCATTACTGATAGTTTGCTGACCCTGTTCTAAAACATGTAAGTATTGGGAACTGATCATGGATTAATTAGCCCCCAAAGGGAGGAAGGAAAGGAACCAATGTGGCTGATCTCAGAAACCTGCCAAAGACTAGAATGGTATCCTCTCCAAGATCCCTGGAGCTGATCCAAGCCAAAGACATGCATGAGAGGAGATATCTGCGGCGGCGGCCGGGGGTGGGGGGCAAGGTGTTTACCACTAGCACTCAGTTAAGGGAGAGGTAAGAACAAGGATGATATGGACAAAAAGAATAATTGGGTTAGGTTTATAGGTTTAGGAGTTAGGACATTGCAGGCAGATGGAACAACAGGAAGTCCCAGGCTTTATCAAGGAAAAGGCTTTGTCGAATATGAGAAGCAAGAAAACAATCAAGGTGACGAGGGGAGAAGAGAGAAGGAAGGAAACCTATACGAGATGAGATTGGAGAGGTATGTGGGGGCCAGATCATGTGGGTTTTGAGGAACATGTTGTGTGTTCTTCATTGTAATGGAAAACCATGGAAGATTTTTTTCCCCCCAAGACAGAATCTTGCTTTGTTGCCCAGGCTGGAGTGAAGTGGCACCATCTCAGCTCACTGCAACCTCTGCCTCCTGGGTTCAAGCAATTCTCCTGCCTCAGCCTCCCGATTACAGGGTGCACACCACCATGCCTGTAAAACATACAATAATTTTTATATTTTTTTGGTAGAGATGGGGTTTCACCATGTTGGCCAGGCTGGTCTTGAACTCCTGACCTCCTGATCCACCCACCTAGGCCTCCCAAAGTGCTGGGATTACAGGTGTGAACCACCATGCCTAGCTGCCATTGGAAAATTTTAGGCAGAAGGGTGATTTAGTTGCTGTGTGTCTGGAGATGAGATTGAAGGTAGACGAAAGAAGACAGAATCAGGATGTCATTTCAGTGGATCAGGTAGGACATAATGGTGGCTTAGTCTAGGGTATCATAATAGAGAATGAAGGAATTTAGAGATTTAATTTGGAGGTAGAACCAAGAAGACTTGCTTATGATTTTGATGTAGAGATAGAAGGAAGGTGCAGGGAGGGGCATGGATTGAAGATAAAGCCTCATTTTTAAATTTGAGCAACTGGTGCTTGTAAGTACTATTTATTGAAATAGAAAATTTGGGAGAGGGACAGATTTACAAGGAGCTATGTTTTAGATGATTATCAAGAGCTATGTTTTAGATTTAGTAAGTTTGAAGTACTTGTTAAATATCTGAGATACAGATCTATCAGGGAGTTGTGCAAGAGTCGGGCTGGTGCTCAGGGGAGAGGCTGGGCTAGAGACGTAAATGTGGACATCACTGGCAGACAGGTATTTAAAGTAACTAGGGGAGGATGTCAAGGTGGAGAAGATTGCCAGGGTTGAACTCCAAGCCATTCCAGGCTATGTGGCTCAGGTAGGAGATGGGGAACCAGCAAGAGTTAGACAGGAGTAAGGAAGAAGAAGAGCCATGGAATGAGATAACAGAAGCAAGGAAAGGAGAGTGTCTTTTTTTCTTTCTTTCTTTTCTTTTTTCTTTTTTTTTGAGACATGGTCTCACTTTGTCACCCAGGCTGGAGTAGTACAGTGGAGTAATCTTGGCTCGCTGCAACCTGGGCTCAAGCGATCCTCCCACCTCAGACTTCCGAGTAGCTGGGCACATGCCATCATGCTTTTTTTGTAGAGATAGAGTCACTATGTTTCCCTAAATGGTCTTGAACTTCTAGACTCAAGCAGTCTTCTCTCCTCGGCCTCCCAAAGTGCTGTGATTACCAGCGTGAGCCACCACACCTGACTGAGAGGTTTTCAAGAACAAAGGGTGAACTGTGCAAATGCTGCTTAATGGTTGAGGAACATGAAGTGAGTGAAGAAGGGTCTATGGGATTTGGTCATCAGTTATTGGTTATTTTGATGAGCAGTGTGAGTAGAGTTGTGAGGACAGAATCCAGGTTACAGTAAATGGCAATATAGGCATTAAAAAGTTGGGGATAGTGAGTGAAAATAATGTGTTCATAAAGTGTTACTCTGATTGAGAGCAGGGAAATGGTAGGATAACCAGAAGAGACTGTGGGTTCAAAGGAGAGTTGACGTGCTGATGGAAATAATCCAGCTGGAGGGAGAAATTGATGATGCAGGCAGGAGGGAGTGGTGTAATTATGGGAGTTAAAGGTTTTGTAAAGACAAGTACAATCTGGAACTAAGTTTAATAGGAACAGGGACACTCATCCATTATAATAGGAAGGAAAGTGGAGAACATAGACTTAGGTGCAGGTTGACTTGTAGAGCTGATCGTGGGAAAATGAAGTTTTAATTTATTTTTCATAGTGAAGAATGAAGTGAGAACACCACGTGCCTGTTTGATGTGTGTGCCTGAACTTGAGTGCACATGTGCATGCTTGTGTGTATGTAGTTGGGACTGAGAGTGGGTGATGAGAGATGGCTTTAGAGAGTGAGACTTGAAGCATAAACAGAGATACACAGCATAATGGGATTAGTCCTGACCAAGTCTTAGAGGAGGGAGGAGGTGATGTGTTGAAGATATGGTTCCTGAATACTTAGCTCCCTTTTGGGTGTGTAGGGTGGAGCAGTGTTATCCTCTTGCACTGGCAGTGGATGATGCTCTGTAGGCAGAGGGATTCAGGATTCTCCCCCTACTTTGTAGGATTGTGATAACGATTTGAATGAAATATTCCTTTTAAGGGACTAATACACTGCTTAACACATGGCTAAGTGCTCAATAAATGAGTTACTAGTTATTGTTAATTAATTTAGGAGGACTGAGGTTTAGAAAAGAAGAGTGTTTTTCTCAGGGTCCTAAAAGGTCTCTAGGAAGAATGAAAGCCTTAGTACATGAGACCTGAGGCCTGCTGGAATCTCAGACTGTGAGACTGATGAGCCCTTCCTGCCTAGAGGAGAGCAGGCCAGTAGCCCCTTCCTCCTCACCTCTGAAATCTTGTGGGCATTCCAGGATACATGGAATCCTGAACCCAATGCCAGCCAGCCAGTCTTGTTAAGCACAGTCCACACTCCACTCTTCCCTTTGTCCACATCTTTCTTGTGCTTACCGCTGTTCATTGAACTAAAATGAATGCTAGTGGTAAAACCTTGCTCCCCCATGATGGATGTCTTCTCTCTGGTCAAGATGTATAGCTGTGGCTTGGATCAGCTCCAGGGAATTTTGTGAGGAGACCAGTCTGGTCTTTGGCAGGTTCCCGAGATTATAGCCACATTGATTCCTTTCCCTCCTCCCCTTGGATGCTGGCTGTGGAAGGTGGCTGACCTTAATTGTACTCCTTAGTATCTCAAATCCATTCCTTTGTCAGGTTGAGACATACCTCCTGCCTTTCCTCTATGCTCAGAGATTGGTCTTATGGTGTGAATCTATCCAATTTGTTTTTGTGAAGACAGGCTGTCTTGTTTAATCAGGTCAGGCACACGCTGTAGGGCTCAAGGCCCTGTTGTCCCCTTTCATGGAAAAATATATTAATAAATAAGGGTGCCTGTTACTTCCTGTGTCTGTGCCCACTGCTGTCTGAGAGGTCCTGCCCTGGCAGTGTGCTGAGGGAGGAGCATTGCACAGATATTCCAGGCTTATTTCTGCCTGAGAAGTTGGCTGAGAGCCCTCTGTTTGTGGTTGGCTTTTGTCTGCCCCATGCCATTTCTTCCTCTTTCATGAAATGATCCAATTCTCAGCTGAGCCTTTCCTCTTCTAGCTTCAGGGTAAGGTTACTTTGTTAGACCCCTGGCTGACTGAAGGGAAAGGTATGATAGTACACTCAGTTAGAGCTGGCCTGGCCTCTCTTACCTTAGGGTGCCATTCACCCAGGGACATTTTCTTTCTTGGGGACTATGGTGCTTCCCTCTTATTTTTTTTGAGACAGGGCCTGACTGTTGCCCAGCTGTGGGAGTACAGTGGCATAGTCATACTTTACCACAGCCTTGAACCTCTGGGCTCAAGTGATCCTCCTGCCTCCCATGTATCTGGGACTACAGGCACGTACCCTCACATCCCAGTTAATATGTTTAGATTTTTTTGTAGAGATGGGATCTTGTTATTCTTCCATTGTGGCCACTCAGAGTACTGGGATTACAAGTGCGAGCCACCAAGCCCAGCCATGCCTTCCTCTTTACTCTCAGTTTTCTTTGAACAGGCTGGATATCAACACCAACACCTATACATCTCAGGACCTCAAGAGTGCACTGGCAAAATTCAAGGAGGGAGCAGAGATGGAGAGTTCAAAGGAAGACAAGGTGTGTGATGATTTTTCCCGTGAGTATAAGCCTGCAGGATGGCCTTGTTTTTGCAGAGAAGGGAATCATTTTTATGGGAACTCTTGCAATAAACATGGGATAATAATGTTGTAAAATAATTTAAAGAACCATTAATGACAAATAAGAAACACTTTTAGATGATATTAAAAAAAAACAGTGCTGGGAGCAATTTCTGTTGTGGTTTAATGTAGAATTCTGTTTGCCATCCTGTTTTTTCAAACATCTCTTCATGTTTTGAGAAATCAAGGCACTGAGCAGGGGTAGCCATTCTCTCCATTATCGTAAGCCTGAGTGGAGTGAGTGGATTTTACGGCCCAGATCTCTGCCTCACTTACACTTGGATTTGGCACAACCTTGTTCCAAAAGAACAGAGGAGCTGGCCCAGGAAGCAGGAAGCCCGAGTCCTTGTCCTTGTCCTTTGAACATGTAGCAAACGTGTTTCTTCTGGGCCTCAGGTTCTTTAAATTTAAAACATGGGGCTGGAACAAGAGGACGACTGAGGGTTCCTCTAGCTCTAAATTTCTCCACAAGCTAAGAGATTGAGAGGAGGAAAAGGTGAAGAATTATAGCCCCTTGGCCATGCCCCTAATGTCTGGGAGGGTTCACAGGTGCAGGTCTATACCAGGAAGAAGTCTCACTCTTAGATGGATCATGAGCTCCTAGAGTCATTTCTCTGTATTTCTGTTTGAGTCCTGTTAGTTTTTGAAAGAAGCTTCTATGATGCTGCCTTGGATACCTAAGTTCTCCCTCCCTCTTCTCCTTATAGTCCTTATTTGTCTTTTTTTTTTTTTTTTTTTTTTTTTTTTTTGAGATGGAGTTTCACTCTGTTGCCCAGATAGCCTTGTCGTTTGTGCTGTGGCACGATCTTAGCTCACTGCAAGGTTTACCTCCCAGGTTCAAGTGATTCTCCTGCCTCCTGAGTAGCTGGGATTATAGGTGCCTGCTACTACACTCGGCTAATTTTTATATTTTAGTAGAGATGGGGTTTCATCATGTTGGCCAGGCTGGTCTCAAACTTCTGACCTCAAATGATCTGCCCACCTTGGCCTCCCAAAGTGCTGGGATTACAGACATGAGCCACTGCACTCGGCAGTCATTTACCTTTATTTATCTCTTTACTCCTTCCCCTGATCCGAGGTAGTATCTTAGAGAGGCAGCATTAGGTTCTTGACAGCTTGTATATTCCTGGAAGAAGCCGTAGGTTCTTCTGATCTTTTAGAAGTAAATATTTCTGGGAAAATGAACCTCTTGAGGGCTAGGAAGCTGGTGTTTACCTGTTTAAGATGTGTGAAATACGGGCCCAGTCTCCATATCTTTACTCATTTTACCAAAATCACTTCTCCAACACGCAGAGTGTATGTGGTGTGGCACAGTGGCAGCAGTAGTGGATGAAGGAAGGCAGTGCTTGAAATTGCATCCTACCACAGATGTATTAGCTGAGGAGCTGAGTAGAAGCACATCTCCTGCCTGGTATAGGTGAGACCAGGAGAGGAGTGCCTGAGTACCTGGGTGCCTGGGATTGGTCAGGGCTTTGGCTCCTTTCCACTCACTCGGTACCATGTGGGACTGATGGGAACATTAACAAGTCAGCTTCTTTTTTTTTTTTTTTTTTTTTTTTTTTTTGAGACGGAGTTTCACTCTTGTTACCCAGGCTGGAGTGCAATGGCGCGATCTCGGCTCACCGCAACCTCCGCCTCCTGGGTTCAGGCAATTCTCCTGCCTCAGCCTCCTGAGTAGCTGGGACTACAGGCACGCGCCACCATGCCCAGCTAATTTTTTGTAGTTTTAGTAGAGATGGGGTTTCACCATGTTGACCAGGATGGTCTTGATCTCTTGACCTTGTGATCCACCCACCTCGGCCTCCCAAAGTGCTGGGATTACAGGCTTGAGCCACCGCGCCCGGCCTAACAAGTCAGCTTCTGTTCAATGTCTTCTCTGTGGATGGAGGACCCACTTAACCCCTTTCTCTTCTCTTTGCTTTCCCTGGGAGTGTTTGGATTTCCTTTTCTCAGGTGATGGCATTTCCCCTACCCTAGTAATTCAATTAGTGTAGAAAAGTATGAATATTTATAAAAGTATTTAAAAATGTAAAAGCAAGAGATTACTTAAAAGTTTTAATTGTTTTTGTAATTAAAAATACTCCTTTCAGCCAGGCACGGTGGCTCATGCCTGTGATCCCAGCACTTTGGGGAGGATGAGGCAGGTGGATCATCTGAGGTCAGGAGTTCGAGACCAGCCTGGCCAACATGGCGAAACCCCATCTCTACTAAAAATACAAAAAATCTAAGCCAGGCATGCAACCTCCTGAGCATCTGGGAGCATGGTGGCATGCTCCCAGATGCTCAGGAGGTTGAGGCAGGAGAATTGCTTCAAACTGGGAGGTGGAGGTTGCAGTGAGCTGAGATTATGCCATTGCACCCTGGCCTGGGTGACAAGAACGAAACTCTGTCTCAAAAAGAAAAAAAAAAAAAAGTCCTCTCCCCTTGCAGGGAGATCCCAGTATTAGCACCAAAATGTAAGACCCCAGCTCCTGCTCATTTGCACCAGCTGCCCACCTCCGATATCTGGCTATCATACTCTTTCCGTGATGCTGTGGAACTTAGGTTGTTAGCACCGTCATTGAGGGGCTGAGTCCTGAGGTCCTTCTCCTGCTTTCATTTGGAGCCCGTTTGGACTGACTCAGCTCACTGCCAGTGTGCTATCCGAGCTGGCTCTGGGGTTGGCAAATAAATGGATTTTAAATTGGTTAGATAGTTTCTTACATATCTTAAGCTCCTGGCTACAGATGCCATTCTTTTTTTGTTTATTAATCTTTAAACCTAGCCTATGTGGTGTCTTACAAGTACAGGATAATGCTTTTGTGATTTATATATATAATAGTATCAGATATTCAGCTATATCCTCTTGATTAAATTAGTGGGTTTTTGGGAATTTGATGTTTTGGGGGAGAAGAACATCAATTACATTGTATCCATTGGTAGCTTAGTAGGTTTAAGTGAATCAGTCTTTCCCGAAGTTCCTTGGTTCTTGGAAAAGCTCTCTCTCTCCCAGCAGATTTGGGTTGTTATTGTTGAATCTCATCTACTTACCCCTCTATTTCCCTACAAATTGCTTGATGGTTTTATGTTTTATTATGTCAGCTATTGTTCACCTGTATTCTATAAATTATTGTATTTTAAGATACGGCCTTCTTATGCTTTCATTTGTTGGCAAGATATAATAGACTAATTTCTCCCTATTCCCCCAGCTAAGGGTAGCTAAAAACCCTGGACATAATACTAAAAGCAAATTTAGGAAGACTCTAAAACACTGTCAGAAGGAAGCAGACTGGCTAGGGATCTTGGAGCTTGAGGAATGACACGGCAGTGACTTCCTTGGATTTTCTTTTTGTCCCCTATATATTCTAGACTGAGTGTTGACAAATCCCACATTCTGGAAATGTCAACTGGTGCAGATTTTAAAAAGTTATAAGAAAAGCCTGCTATTTCTAGACAAAGAATTGAGCAAAGCACATCCTAACAGGACAGAAACCAATACCTGTCCTACTCTCGCCAAAGATTATGAAAATCTCCCCACCTCACTTAGTGCTAGTGCAGTGGACATTGAATTGGGGAGTCTGGACTTCTACCTCCTATCTGATGGTAGTAGCAAGCTGTACTCTGATTCCTCCACTGGGGTCACTGGAAGCCAAATGGAGAGCCTGAACTCATATCCATTCCTGATAGCAAAACAGTGGTAGAAGGCAGTGCTCTGCTTCCTCCACCAAGATGGTGTCAGTGGGAGTTGAGCAGAGAGCCTGACTTTTCATCCTCCGCCCCGTAGGTGTTCTCTGCTTCGCCTGCTGGTGTATTACTAAGAGAGGCCAATCCTGATTTTCCATCCCCTATCTGACAGTAGCAGGCTGCTTATCTTGCTGGAGTGGTGAACTTGAATACCTGTCCTCTGCCTGGCAGCACCAACATGTTTTTTTACTTCTCCCTGATGACATGGTGCCAGTTGGGGTGAATGAAGAGTCTGTACTTCCATCCCCAACTCAGAGGCAATGAGACTGTAAGGCAGCATTCTGCTTCCTTCTCTGGGGTAGGGCCAGTGGAATAAGTGAGAAGTATGAACTTCTACCCTCAGGCCAGCAGCAATTAAGCAGTGCTTTGATTCTGCCACCAAAGTGGTGTCAATAGAGGACCAGGGAGGAACCCAGACTTCCACTCCCAGTGGCCAGCATCCACTGGTGGCAGGTGAAGCTGTTACCCCTTCCAACTAGAGAGTAGGGGTAGGATTTGGCAGAGAGGGGAGCTAGAGAAAGGGATTTTGCATATGAAGTCCTAGACATACCCTTTACTTATTTTTCCTGATCCCCTCCCTCTTCCCAGCCTCCACCCAATAGGCCTCATGCAAGAAACTGACCAGAATTAATACAACAAAGTTTAGGAACTGAACTATAGTGTGGAATGCTGCCCAGGTTTTTAGATTGGCCTCTGGGTAGCACACAAAGGAAGCAGACCAGAATAGCACTACAATGCTCTGAAAACTAAATTGTCATTGGAGCCACAATCCACACAAGTAAGCCAGAACCAGTATATTAACCCTAAATAGGATGGCTACCAAAAAAGATTAAGTAGGATCTGCAATCTTATAACTTAATACCCAAAATGTCTAGGATATAATTAAAAATCATTCCTCATAACAAGAACCAGGAAAATCACAACTTGAATTAGATAATCAACAGATGCTGTTATGAATTGAATGTTTGTGTCTCCCCCAAATTCATAAGTTGAAGCCCTAACCCTGCAGTGTGATGTTGTTTGGAGGTGGGACCTTTGAGAGTCAATAAGTTTAGGAGAGGTCATGAGGGTTGGGCTCAAAAGGGATTAATGTCCTTAGAAGAATCAGAGAGACCAGCACTCTCTTTTTCTACCATGTGAAAACACAGCTAGAAGGTGATTATCTGTAAGCCAAAAAGGGGACCCTCACCGGAAACC